TTTTTTTTTTTTTTTTTTTTTTTTTTGAGGCAGAGTCTTGTTCTTTCACCTAGGCTAAAGTGCAGTTGCGTGATCTCAGCTCACTGCAGCCTCAACTTCCCAGGCTCAAGTGATCCTCCAGCCTCAACCTCCCAAGTAGCTGGGACTACAAGTGTGTACTACCATACCCAGCTTCCTTTTTTGTTGTTTTTTCGTTTTATTTTGTAGAGACAAGGTCTCACTGTGTTACTCAGGCTAGCCTCAAACTCCTAAGCTCAAGTGAATCTACCTACTTCATTCATCCAAAGATGAATTTTATCCTTATCATAGATATATAATTTTTTTCTTTAATTTTATGGGTCCAGAATGCTTCTGCTGTACAACTCTGCTATCTTTTTTCTCTAATTCTAAATATACTCAAGAACATTAATTTCTAGACAACCTGGAATATGAGATGGAGCCACTGGCATAATGGAACCATGGAGTTAAAAGCTTGAGATTCCATTATAATTTGCCTTAACTAGATTGAAGGCCAGAGCCCCATTTCTCAGGGTAGCTGGGTTCTAGGGTCCTAGTAACCTCCATGTTCATTCTTCTACAAGTTCATCTTGACCTAGCCTTCAATACAGGGCTTTAGGGAGGAAAGTAGCAGTAGTTCAAAAAGATGAGAATAAATGAGCAGTTCCTGCAGCTGTGAAATCAAGGTAACTATAAACTAGAGGGCAGTGATGATGGCAGTGACCTAGGCCTAGGAGATCCTTATCCATGAATAACATACCATTGAAAAACATTTGATAAATTCCTGCTGAGTACTCAAATGTAGCTGGTGTCCTAAATCATTCCCATTGCACTTGATTTATTCCCAAAAAGTAATTTATGAAAAGTTTAGGTGTTAACAGGAGTGACTAACCACATAAAAAATTGTATAATTGTACAGTTGTATCATTTATTTTTGGTTAACTTAACTTTATTAAATTCTGTTGTAACAGATTGGAGAAATATGGAATGAAATATATGAAGAAATAAAATTAGAAAAATTAAGACCAGTCACTACAGATAAAAAAGCTTTGGAAGCTATTACAACAGCATCAGAAAATATTGGAAAGATGGTTGCTTCTCTGCAAAGTGAGATAATTGAAAGCCAAGCACGCCAAGATGTGCAAAATGAACAAAAAGTATATGCAAAAGTAAGCTACGTAGGTAGTGAGGAGGGAGAATGAGGATAGGTTGGTTAACAGGTACAAAAATACAGCTAAAAAGAATAAGTTCTGTTGTTCAATAGCACAGTAGGGCAAATGTAGTAACAATAATTTATTATATATTTCAAAATATTCAGAAGACCTGGAATGTTCCTAACACAAAGGAATGATAAATGTTTGAGGGAATAGATATCCCAGTTACCCTGATTATTACACATTGTATGCACACATCAAAATATCACATGTATGCCATAAATATGTACAACTATTATGTATCAATAAAAAGTAAGCCATAGATACCATGAAGGCACAAGATACTAATTTCAATGTACAAACCCAGATGAAGTTATCCATAAGATATATTTGCTTACTTGTGAGTATTTCAGCCTTATTTTGTAGTTTTCTCTTAGAGTTATTTTCAGTGTCCCTGTGCAGTTTTAAAAGAAACTATGGAGTTTGAGATTTAGTTACTATATGCGATGCTGTTTTCTTGCATTATAATTTTATTTCTACAGTCTTAAATTTTTTAAAAGGCAGAGAGACTTGCCATTGTACTCCAACCTGGGTGACAGAGCAAGATTCTGTCTCAAAGAAAAAAAGAAACTGAAACTTAATTATCTTTCTCATTTCAGATACAAGCCACACACAAGCAAAGAGAGCTGGCTAATAAATCATGGGAAAATTTCTTGGCTAGAACATCAAATGCTAAAACATTAAAGGTAGGATTTTTAATGTATTATAGTATCCACAACAAATAGCCAACTCTAACAGACAGACTTTTTCAGGTACAAATGTTCATTCATTTTTTTTCTAGTGACTTTTCCATACAATACCAACACTATTAGATGCTCATATGCAATTTAGAGTGGTAACTGAAACCACATTTCACAGTTACAGAAGAAGCTGCTTTGAGTTTCATTTGGCTTATCAGGGAGAAGCAACGGTGATGTTCTTGGCCTACATAAAGAAAAGATGACAGCCGGGAATCAGCAGGAAAATGTGTTCTGCTTTCCATTCTGAACCTGCCTTATTCATTGACTTCTTTTCTGTGAGAGGCAAAGTAAAGGACAGAAAGAACAACTATCCTGTATTACTCTCTTCCCCAAGAGTTTTCCCTCTGTAATCAGCAAAAGAGGCATTATGTTAAAACTTAAATGAGAATTGGTATGAATATCCCTTTGTAAAAAAAAAAAAATGTGGTAAGCTACTTCAGCTGTAAGCTAGAAACTAATCTAAAACATTTATAGTCCTAATCGTTCACTTGAAATATGTGAGAAATACCTTGGATTTCCAGAAATTCATTACTTTTCCTCACCCTTTTCCATTAATATCTTGGAGACACTTTTTTAAAAAATCTCTCCTTCATTTCTGATACTTTGGATACACTTTACCTAATGCTTCAATTCTTCCTGTAGATATCAAATTGCTAAATGTTAAGTTACTCCACAAAGACAGTGGAGCCATATTAAGATAGCAAAACCAATGTTAAGGACAAGCTCACTCAAGGTACCAAATTATTCTCCCTTTTCACTGAAAGTTCTTCCCAACTCTTCTTATAAAATGTCTTCATAACTGCCCGTATTTTTAGCACTAGTTAATGAAAATCAACCCTTTCCTGTAGATTGTTTGTTACTTCACATTTCAATTGTTTAGTGTCTCAAATAACTTGAAAATAATTTCAAATAGCTTTAATATAACTGCAGTGAATTATATACTTTATATTATTCTGAATGCTTACAACATTTAAGTGTACTTAATCAGTTGGTAATTTATGCAACATATTTTGCAACATGCATCACCTGATATAAATTCAATAGCTTATTAAATTATGTGCTAAAAATTGAACCTGATTTCCTTAGGACCTGCTTGACTCCTTGATCATATATGATGAGTACTTTTGGAAATCTCTGGAACACTTTTAGGTGACTGGAGCCTTCTTCAGTGTGCAAATTATCTAACTTACTAATAACTGTCTTTTTAGTCTACATGAGTAAATGCAGATTTCAGAGCTATCTAATAAACAGCCAAAGCATAAGCCAGATGCAATTAAATATATTTTCATTTTAAGTACCATCATTACTGATTTAATAGCAATTAATATTATTTTCTTTCTAATTTAAAAATTCTCAGAAAGCAAAAAGGTTTCAAGAAAAGGCTATTGAAGCCTCTAGATACCATGAACGACCACAAAATGCAATATTTCACCCAACAGATATTAAAGGCCTTAACACAACGGTAAGAGTCTTTTTCTCCATAACATTATCTTAATAGACATTAAATTTAGGGTGTTTGTACAACTGTGAAAATATACTGAAAACCATTGAATTTTACACTTTAAATGAGTGGATTATGTGGTATTTAATTTTATCTCAATAAAACTGTTCAAAAAAGAAAACATTTAAAATTAGAAGATAAAAATTTAATAAAAAAAATAAACTTAGACCCTCAAAATATTATTTCTATGGGATTTTTATCTCACATTTTTTCTTTTGTTGTTCAAATTTCACATCATTTTTTTGCTGTTCAAATTTCACATCACTAAGCCATATTTATCTCCAGGGTATATCCACTCTTGCCTAGTTCTGGTTTAGAGTAGGCTCAGCCCTCCAAGATTTCTAAGAAATTGTTATAAACACTAGTCAGCATATAACTGTCCTTATATCTGATAGAAAAGGCACAATGCTTCCTTTTCCTGGCAAGTAGACTCAAAGTATTCCTGGCATCCTCTGCTAGACTTAATTTGCCCCCAGTTACAAAGCTGATAAGCAACAGAAGTAGAATTCAAACCCACTTTTCCTGGCTCTGATGCCCTTATCTATTATTACCACAACTGTCTCCTAGTTACTCAAATGTATATTTTGTGCCTTTTCCAAAGTAAGTTGAAGGATGAATGAGTTTTTCTCTTACTGAAAATTGTGTAAATGGACTTTTAGATATTTACCTTTTGCCTTTTTAGGTGCCTTCTGGTGGGGTAGTAACAGTGGAAAGCACTCCTGCCCGATTAGTAGGAGGACCTCTGGCTGATACGGATATTGCTCTTAAAAAACTGCCCATTCGAGGAGGAGCCTTGCAGAAGGTGAAAGCAGTTAAAATTGAGGATGTACCAAAAAAGAGTATTCCTACATAATATACTCTACAGGCTTTTTGAAATAAAATCAGCTTATAATTTTTTTAGTTGATATCTTTATATATACATAAAACAATTGTTTTAGAATAAATATTTTAGTATAACTATTTTAGTAAAATACTATAAAAAATAAAGGACATATAACTTATTTTTATGGAAAACATCAACATGTAATATCAGAAGAGTTGTCATCAGTTTATTTGGAAAGGCTACCAATTTTATTAAGTGAAGTTGTAAAGCATAGTACAGCAGTTAGGACTCTGTTGGTTGCATGTGAAGTATTCTAACTCGTTTAAGCCAGAAAAAAAAATTTCTTACAGGCTCTGTATCTATCAAATCTAGAAGTAATTTAGACTACAGACATTGCTAAATCTAGGGGCTAAAACTATATGAGTAGGTTCTTTTCCTTCCCTAGCAGCTGTTGGCTTACATTCTCTTAAGTTCATGCCTGTGTATCAGTGGTTTCTGCAACGCCTATGGATCTCAGGACCCCTGATTGACCACATGCCTCCTCCTGAGCCATTCACCATAACGTGGACCAAGGCTGAGTACTGCCTATTCCTGGAGCCAGAAGCAGGCCAACCCCACCCAAAACATATGGATAGAGTGGGGAATCAGGGTACTATTATCAGAAGTAAGTATATATGAATATAGGGCAGCAAGAAAAACAATACCTCTGCAACAAGTATGTTGATCAAAATAAAATTATGCTTTCTTTGCTACAGAAGCAAATGTTTATCATGATCTAAATGGTAAAAAAGAAAAAGAAAAATACAGCTTGTTTTACTCTTAATATATAAATATGCAAAGCAAACTCTAATGCTACTTCTCTTCTTTAATGGGGAAGAGAATTATACAATGGGGGAAGTGTTTTCCCTCGTTTGGTGGTAGAGGTATCTTGTCAAAGAATAGGAGGTAAATGCCTTTATGCTGGATATATAGGAAATCTGTGTCCCTGGATGCCGCTGTGAAGTTTCCCTCTCCTGCCTTCATTCCCTTCATACCCCTCCTCCAGCCAGGAAGCCACAAAGTTGAGTTCATGTCCAGGGATCAGAGAGACAAGGATATGTTTCTCAGACAGGAAAATAAACTGGAATTTAAGTCTGGATTCTGGGCCCATGGGGCACACTTAGCAGTGTACTGGTAAATGTGTAACAGCTGCCTCTCCAGGAGGGAAAAGCACTGATTTACGTCACATTCTCACCAGTTCACACAGTATAAATACTGCCGCTATTACCAATCTCAAGCTACCAACATGATGCCATTGAGTACAGACTTGGGAAAACAAATATAGGTTCTACTTTCATTATTAGATAAGAGCAGTCTTATCACCTCATTGGACCCACATTTTCCTCCCTCTTCTTTCCTCCTCCTCCTCCTGCCCCTGCCTCCTCTTCTTCCTCCTCCTCCCCCACTCCTTCCTTCCTCCTCTCTCCCTACATTCCTCTAGGGATTTTCCATTATCCTGTCTGTGAAGACAGTAACATCTTCATTGAGAGTAGAGATTGCAGCTATTGTTATTGTTCTAATTAGAATGAGTTGCCAGTCCACCTTTGATTGGTGGCCTCTCACCCTGGCCCAGACACCCATCCCCTTGTGCCCCATAGGAGTAGATAACATGTATCAGCTTATCAGTGAGCTTTGTTATCTCCTGAATGCCTTTCTCTAGTCTACCACCCTCAACAAGATATTAGAAGGCATAATTTGTTTCTTTCCTTCACAGGAAACCCTAAGCATGGGCAGGAGCATACAACAATTGAGATGCCCATACAAAAAGCACCAGATACATCTTAGGTACACTTCAGAATACCCAGAATTGATGTGAAGTATCCATGGCTAACAACAATGAATCTTTGCTCCATTTTGTAGACTATAAGCTCTCTAAGAACAAGGTAGAGACCATATCTCATTAATTATTGTACTCAATATCTCAATAAATAAATTATTAGATAATGTGATTGTGGCCTCAGCTCCTGGCAGCCTTTCCCTTCAGCTCTCCAAATGCAGCTCAATGTACTGAGTTCAAAGGGAAGATTCAGCCAGCAAAATACTATACAAGTAATGTTCAACATAGACAACATGTGAGTTTAAATGTATTTACTTCATAACATGATAGATTTTCTCCAAAATGGTGAGGTATAAATACTACTACATGAATATAACCAAGGTGTGGAAATAGTATTACCTGCCTAAGTATCATTTTTCTATGTAGTACAACTAAATATCTCAGATTGATTAGGATTGACTCTAATCTAGATAATTTGTGATGCCTGTGGACCTTTCCCCTTCCATGTAGATTTTACTTTTCTTCAGGAAGAAGAAAGGTAAAACAGGGCAGATTATTATCTATCAGCGATTTAATAGACAAGTAAATGTAAGTTGATGGAGAGCAGTAATGTTGCTTAATACAGACACTTGCACTTGGTAGACAGATTCACCCAAGTTTGCATATTATAACTCCAGCCACCACACAGTGAGTGAGTGAGTGAATCTTTCTCACAATGTCACTAAGTCTCTGTCTCTCATCACATCCTGTACTCTCACACCACACCTGAGCCCTAGGGGATGTGATGTCTATCCTATCCTGCCTCGCTGAGAGGAGGATGGTATATTTTCTTACATTAGTCAGGTGAGACAAAATTTCAAGCTTTCAAACTGAAACTTACTATTCAACTGAATGAAAAGAAAGTCAAAAGAATAAAAGTGATGAAATTCAGTGAGCACAGATAAAAGTCACTTCAACAATCTCAGTAATGAGATTTTTACCACATGGGGGAGCTCATTCCAGCATGGTTAAACGAATTGTCAGATGGGGCTTACTTACATTGGGTGAAAAAAAATCAGTGAATAATTAAGTGAATAATGTTCATCCATCTGGCATCCTTAGTTCACCTTAGGGAACATAAAGTATATTTTACACACAACTATGTTTTCCACCTTAAGTTTTTTCAGGTCAAACATCCAGTTTCTTCATCATTCTTCTGGTAATATAGTTTCTAGAATTTATGAATCTGGTCAGCTCCATCTGATGTGCTACAGGTGGGATTAATATTCATTAATATTCATTAATATTCCTCTAAACTGTGACCAAACAGAACAAAGATTTTTCAGGTGAGCAGAAACAATGTAGTCCCTCTCATTTTTGGCATTCTGCCAATACAACCTTAACTTACATTAGTTTCATTAGCAACCATTTTTCTTTATTGCTTATATTTAGTTGCCTTTCAAGGAAAATGTCAAGGATACTTTCTGAGAAACAGTAGCAGACACTGACATCCAGAAACTGGCCTGGTACTTTCAGATCAAAATCCTATAAATAGACCCAATCCCAGACTTTGGTTTATAACATAATTCTCCAATAAAAATGAGCCTGAGCTCCTTGGAGAAATGGCTTTCTAAGGCTGGGGCAAAAATATGTGAGTCTGGAGCATCTTATTGAGCTCCCAGTGGCCAGACCTGGAATGATTTGAACAAATCAATAATGTAGTGTTGGGTTAAAAACCAAAGTATAAATAAATATTTATAAATCCATACTGATATAAATAAATGATGAAAGGAAGGAAAGAAGGAAGGGAGGGAGAGAGAAAGTGGCAGAAGTCTCTATACAAAGAATTCTAAATGATTTATGTAGATAGTCCTTCCTTAAGAAGGTAGAAGAAAATTCCCCATTCTCACGTATGGGTTGTGCTTAGTGACTTCCTTCCAAAGGATATAATATAGAAAGAAAGTCGAAAGCAACTTTACAATGGAGAAAATTGGCAAACACTACCTTAGCCAATGTTAAACACCATTAATGGTAAGTGACGTCAATGACACGTGCCTTTGATATGATGTGTTGACACTTTACCTCTGTTGTCTTCATCTCAAAAGCCTATAATCCAGTCTAACAATCAGACAAACCCAAATTGACGGGCATTTTGCAGTATACCTCACCAATACTCAAAATGGTCAAGGTCATCAAAAACATGGTCTTAGACACCGTCACAACCCACAGGAGCCTAAGAAGGCATGACAACTCAGTGTAACATGGAATCCTGAATGAGATCCTGGAACAACAATAACAAAAAAGGACCTTAGGGAAAAACCACTGAAATCTGAATAAAATATGAAGTTTAGTTAATATTGTATTGGTTTCAGGCCAGGTGCTGTGGCTCATGCCCTTTTAATAAATGTATTAAAAGTAAATACATTTACACTGTAATCCCAGCACTTTGGGAAGCTGACTCGGGCAGATCACTTGAGCCCAGAAGTTTGAGACTGGATTGGGCAATAGGGTGCAATCTCAACTCTACAAAGAATACAAAAATTATCTGGGAGTGGTGGCTCACACCTGTAGTTCCAGCTACTCAGGAAGCTGAGGTAGGAGTATCAATTGAGCCCAGGACAATGAGGCTGCAGTGAGCCGTGATTGCACCACTGCAATCCAGCCTGAGTGAAAGAGCAAGACCCTGCCTCAAAAAATAAATACAAATTAACAAAATAAAAATTAAAAAATGGGTAAGAGGTATATAGGAGATCTGGGTACCATCCTTGCAACTTTTCTGCAAATTTAAAACTATTTTAAAATGAAAAGTTTACCAAATTTAAAAAAAAAAAAAAAAAGTGGGCAAAGGACATGAACTTCAAAAGAAGTAATACAAGCAGCCAAGAAGCATATGGAAAAAAGCTCAATATCACTGATCATTAGAGAAATGCTATCAAACCACCATCTCACACCTGTCAGAATGGTGTTATTAAAAAATAAAAAAATAACATGCTGGCGAGATTGCAGAGAAAAGGGGATGCTTATACACCATTGCTAAGAGTGTAGATTAGTTTAACCATTGTGGAAAGCAGTGTGGCAATTCCTCAAAGAGCTAAAATCAGAACTACCATTTGACCCTGCAATCCCATCAACAGTATATGCTCAAAGGAATATAAATCATTCTATCATAAATACATGCACATGCCAGACACAGTGGAGCATGCCTGTAATCCCAGCTACTTGGGAGGCTGAGGCTGGAGGATCGCTTGAGTCCAGGAGTTCTGGGCTATAGTGTGCTATGCTGATGGGGTTTCTGCACTAAGTTCAGCATCAATATGGTGACCTCCTGGGTGCTGGGGACCACCAGGTTGCCTAAGGAGGGGTGAACCGGCTGAGGTCAGAAATGGAGCAAGTCAAAACTCCCATGCTGATCAGTAGTGGGATCCCACCTGTGAATAGCCACGCACTCCAGCCTGGGCAACATAGCAAGACCGTGTCTCTTAAAAATAAAATAAAAGACACACGGATGAATGTTCACTGAAGCACTATTCACAACAGCAAAGACATGGAATCAACCTACATGCCCATCATGACAGACTGGATAAAGCAAATGTGGTCCATATACACCATGGAATACTATTCAGTCATGAAAAGAATGAGATCATGTCTTTTGCAGGAATATGGATGGAACTAGAGGCCATTATCCTTAGCAAACTAACACAGGAAAAGAAAACAATACCACATGCTCTCATTGAAGTGGTAGCTAAATGATGAGAACTCATGGATACAAAAAGGAAAACAGTAGACACTGGGGCCTACTTAAGGGTGGAGAGTGGGAAGAGGGAGAGAATCAGAAAAACTAACTATTGACTACTAGGCTTAGTACCTGGGTGACAAAAGAATCTGAACAACAAACCACTGTGACATGTGTTTGCCTATAGAAAAAACCTGCACATGTACCCCTGAACTTAAAAGTTAAAAAAATAAAACGTTAAAAAAAAAAATTCTGGCCAGGTGCAGTGGCTCATGCCTGTAATCCCAGCACTTTGGGAGGTGGAGGCATGTGGATCACCTGAGGTCAGGAGTTTAAGACCAGCCTGGCCAATATGGTGAAACCCTGTCTCTACTAAAAATACAAAAAATTAGCTGAGCATGGTGGTGGACACCTGTGATCCCAGCTACTCGGGAGACTGAGGCAGGAGAATCACTTGAACCTGGGAGGCGGAGGTAGCAGTGAGCCTAGATCATGCCATTGCACTACAGCCAGAGCAACAAGAGTGAAACTCCATCTCAAAAAAAGAAAAAATAAAAAAGATTTGATAGAAACAGCAGAGGAACTTTAGACATAGATAATTATTATCCCTTGTATCATCTTATGAAGAAATATTTGTGGGGTCAATATTAGATTCCTTGACACCTTTTTTCTCCTCAGCCTTAAGCTCTCTGAAAAATAATTGGTTATGAGCTAAGCCAAATGAGGACAGCATAAACCCAAAGCTGTAAAACTGATTGAGTCTTCACCATGGTACCACTACAAGAATTGGTCGTTTGTTTTGTAAAATGATCTCTTGACTGATCTAGTCAAAGACAAAAGAGAAATACATATTGTCCCCATTCAGCTTCATTTTGACCACTCTCTTTATCTTCTATTTTAATATGATAAAATTGCTTTTGAATTAGATATTTCAGTCTATCCCCCGCATTGTCCCACTGCAGTGTCAACTCTGTGAGTCAAGGATTACATCTGGATTGCTCACTAATATACCCTTAAGCTTAATGAATATTTGTTGAATGAATCAATAATGAACAGAAAGAATAAGTTTTTTTATACTTAGATGACACTATTTGTGCCAAAAATGGGGAGGAATTTTAACATAAATAGGTATGTAATCACCATCAAAAGCTTAAGATGAACTGTTCTAAAACCAGATTGTCCAGTTTAGCAAATGGTCTTATTTTTAATCCAACGTAGTATGTAAATTCAATTAAAAGAACTAGAAACCACTTTGACATTAACAGGAAGACTAATTTTATTGGTTTAATCTAAAATGTTTATCATTGCTGCAATAAAATTGTCATGACAACTATGAGTGATTGAGGACAGCTGGTTGAACAATTTTTTAGACTAAAATTATGTGGTCTTGCTTTACAGCATTGAACTTTTGAGCTTCAAGCATTTGCCCACAGATTGTAAAAGAGAACTGTTTTTTAAGGAAAACCTAACACTGCCTCTAGGTACCACTTCAGCTTCTCTGCAGGAAATGAATTATAGGTGGATATCTGGTCATTTTTATGAGAACATTAGCCCTACCCTCCAACCAGTTGATTTTCTGAGCTTAGGGATCCATCCTTAATTGGTAAGATATTTTCAATCTAGGAATTTATTAGCCCTACAATCTCATATTATCTGCTACTCACTTATGCAAAATTGGCTATATGAAACAATATTACTGAACGCTATGAGGTCCTTCTTAAATATTGAAGATTCTTTACCTGGAGTTTCTGCAACTCCCTGAAATTACATGTAAAATGTAATCTTACGAGTGTTTGCATACAAAACTCCTAATAAATGGTCTGTATTTCATCAGAATTTGAAAGCACTCCATAATGCAAAGTATGCCCTTCCTTTAATTCAAAGTTTATTCTTGGATCAAGTCAGACCATAGAGAGTTAGTTACTTGTTCAGTATTATTTTAGCTGATTTTAAAGCTTTTTATATTTGAGTTTGAGTGTACTTGAATCAGATTGTACAGGAGAGAACCTGTCATTGTAAGGATACTTGAAACCGGTTCTGCAAACCATGGTAGCCACTGTGAAAACCTATGGGTTAGATTTTTATTGATTCTTTGTTCTGGAAAAGGCTGGACCTCTATTGAACATGTGGTTTGGATTTTCTTATAAGCATGTGAATCTTGAACCTGTTCATGTGTCCCTCTTCACTATGAGAAGTGGGAGACAGACCAAATTTATAGGTACCCTTCATCAAAGGTATAGGCTTTTATGACATGCATTCAAAAAGTATTCCTCTAAACCATAACGCCATTGTATTACTTTCCTGTCTTCATGTCCCATTGTTCCAATTTCCTCCCCTACTTCACGTTTTCCTTTTCCTTGGTATATTTAAGCTTCACATTCTTTTTGAA